TCTGTCCGACAACGTGGAACGGGAATGGACGTCCGAGCCGGAGCTACGCTCCCATACGCCACCAGGACAGAGCCAGGAGAAGGACTCCTGGATGTCCATGTCGGAGGTTCATACTCATCAGATGAGCTCCTACCTTGGCTGCTGTGATGTGAAGTTCTCTCAGCTGAGCTTTCAGATCAGAGTTCATCTCCAGCTCGAGCAGAGCCTGAAGAAAGATCCAGATTACAGGTTAACACCAGAACCACAGCTATGAAATGAAGCAGGATCCTGTGGATCTTAAACAAGCTGGTTTTTCCTACCTGGGAGATCCCAGACTCGAACTCATCGGGCTTCTCGCCATTGGGCTTCACGATCTTGGCGCTGGTACTGAACATGGCCTTAGTCTCTGCAGAAACAAGCAGACATGAGGTTCAAATAAAGGTTTCAGGACCAACAGAGAGCAGAACATTTAGATCTGACCCAGAACCCATTAAAAACGAACCAGATCAGATCAGAAGTCTGTGCAGCTAAACTCCGGTACTTAAATGTTTAAATCTGACCCAGACTGAAAATAGAAATGTTTTCATTGGTCAGAAAGTTTCCTCTGATAAATGCTAACTGGTTTTTCTTTCCCTTCCAGCGGTTAGCTACGCCATGCTGGGTCAAGCTTCCCCCTGAAGGTCCAGTAAACTGGACCCAGTTTGCCAATTATTTGGTAAAACCCTCGGACCAGTTCACCGGTTCTTCCCAGTTTGATGCCCAGCAGCAGCAGCAGTTAGCGGGCTGGACACACGCTCGGCCTAGCTTCTCCCGCTAACACAACCCCTCCGCTACTACGCTTAAAATACAGCTTTAACACAGCCATCCGCTGCCGCAAATATCTTAATCTGAGGTATCAGTCGCCAATCATTGCGTTCTAGTAGTTAAACTAGCAACAAAACGTCTTTAAATGACATTAGAAGCCAGAAAACTGCTCTCCTGTGAAAATAACACGACTAACCTGTGTCAGTGACGGCCTAGGAAGAGACCGGATCCTCGCGAGAGTTGAATTAATCCAATCGCGTTGGTGCATTTAAGAATCGCGAGACTTACTGGGATAAAGGCGTAGATGAGATAAAGTATCGCGAGAGTAGCAGTAATAGTCTTGTTCGTAGTTGTCTGATGTCTGTGGTTTACGTCCGACTTCCCCAGTGAACCCACCATGGCAGTCTGTTGGTTCTGGTGATGTTTCGGTTCTGGGTTCCAGTCCGAACTTTACTCAGGAGGTTCTGCAGCTCTTCAGACATGCCTAAGACGAAAGGAAAGTTCTTCTACGCCGTGAGAAAGGGAGTGAAACCCGGAGTCTACGGGTCGTGGTGAGGGTCTTTCCGGTCAGATTCACCTGTTTGGAACATTAACTTTGATCAGAACAAGAATCCGATCAAAGCAACTTAAACGTCACTCTGAGCTAATCTCTTATTGTCATACTTGAAAGGGCACGACTCAGTAAATTACTGTACCGATTAAAATGTTTAATTTTCAATAATACAAAGCAAAGGCATCTAGTTCGCCCATAATAAAATGTTTGAAGTGTTTATATCTGTTAATTCTGGCTCAGAACTGATGAAAACCGGGGACCCTATCCGATATTAAGTCAGAATAATGTTTTCAGTCTGGCAGAAAGTCCCTGACAGCCTCCAAAACAGGAAGAGGTGCTGAAAGTTTAGTGGAAGAAAAAAGTGCGATAATAAATAACTGGCTTAAAGGAAAACCGCAGATTTGAAGCCTGTTTAGAGTTTGTGGAAATGAGGAGGAGAGGAGACGACAGAGCATCACACTTCCTTCAAAACCTACGAAATCCAACCGGACCTGGTACTGACTAAAGTACCAGTCACCATGGCAACAGCAGCCAACTAGCCACAAAGAGATGAGCTGAGGGCTGCTGTCCCAGCCCAGTTGCTATAGCAACCTGGCCTTCCCACAGACCGCTGGCAGAACTACAGACCAGACAGAGACGCTGGTTGCTATGGCGATTCCCTCCTTTACTGTGTAGATTCTTTTTCTTCTTCTTTTTCTATGTCTGCTTCTGTCTCCTTGAACTCCAGTGGGTCTCAGCAGATGGCCGCTCATACTGAGCCTGGTTCTGCTGGAGGTTTCTTCCTGTTCAAAGGGAGTTTTTCCTCTCCACTGTCGCTACAAGCATGCTTAGTGTGAGGGATTGCTGAAGAGTCAATGAGTCGATGCAATCAGCTGGTTTTCCTTAGATAGAAAACTTTGAATCAATCTGACTGGATGATCTGGTGAACTGGAAAGTGACCTGAGATGACATGATGTGAATTGGAGCTATAGAAATAAACTGAATAGAAATTGAATTTAATGCTAATAAGAAGAAATTATCTTGAAGAGACATCTGGGATGGCGATGTTTTTGCGTTTAATCTTCTCACCGTTATGTTCTGCTGCGTGTCTTTTGGATTTCCTTGCTGATTTGACAAACGCCCAGCTTTGGAGAGCATCTTCCCTTCTGTTTTAGTTGGGACATTCTGATGACTGAAAGTTTGTGTTTCAGTAGTTGTGAAACTTTAGTGTCTAAATGTAGATCTTTAAGGATCTGCAGTGTTTCTGTATCTGACAGGTTTATCAGAACCTTCAGGTCCAGTTTCCAGAACCTTCCAGAGCTGATATCTGCTGGGAGTTCATGGCAGTGAGGGCGTGTCGCTCTCTCGGCACTCTCTGATCGATTCCTAACTGATTGTAAAAAAAAAGCATGTTGCTATAGTAACTGGGGCAGGTAGTGAGCAGAAGCGTCTGAGCTTCAGGAACATGTTTAGCAGCGATATAATGAGGACTTTGCTGGTTCTGGTTGTTTCAGGGATGAGTGTAAGGTCCAGGTGGAAAAGTTTCCGGCTGCATCTTTTAAGAAGTTTGGATCAGAGCGAGACGCCTGGGCGTTCGTCCGGGGAGTAGAGCCGCCTGCCGTTCCGGACCAAAGCACAGGTGAGATGATCCAGATATCCGTAAAACTAAAAACCTCCCCAGGTTCCGACCGTCAGAGGAAACTTTCTGTACCCGGTTCTCTGGAGCAGTTCTGATGCCGAGCCGACGGGTTCTGTTTCTCACCAGCGAGCTCGGCTGGAGAAACGGACCTCTGTCTGCTTCCCAAACGAGGTCCGGAGCCGCTGGAGTACATCCCGCTGGGAAGGAAGCGGCCGCACCCGGAGCAGGAGGCGGAACCTCAGGTTAAACGGGCCAAACCAGTAGAGAGCTCTTCATCAGGAAGCAAAGACGGGTTCACCTACATGGGTACGACGATGATGATGATGGATCTTCATCCTCCGCTCCCTCAGAGTCTGACCCTGCTGCTGTCCTTCCAGGCGACGCTGTGGTGGTCTACACCGACGGCTGCTGCTCGGCCAATGGACGGGCCGGGGCCCGAGCCGGCATCGGGGTGTACTGGGGCCGGAACCACCCGCTGTGAGTCCTCACACACAGACACACCGGCAGGCCACTGCTGCTGTAGCTGAGAACTAACACGCTGCTGCTGTCGCTCAGGAACGTAGCAGAGCGGCTGCACGGGCGACAGACCAATCAGAGAGCAGAGATACAGGTAAGACCCGCCCACCATGTGGCCCCTCGGAAACAGATCCAGCTCTCTTGATCTCACAAAGGGCCCCAGAAACCTGTTAGGAGCCACATGTGGTTCCTGCATGGGTTCCGGTTGGGCCAGGTTATCGGACCTTGTTCTGGAGGGAAGGTCCCCTTCAGGAGCTAAAGACCAACCATCCCTCAGGTTTGGTTCCGGAGACCTGAAACTAGATCCAGGAAATGCAGGCGTCCGTCCAATTAAAGGAGAAGTCATTATTTATACCTAAAACAAATAAGTTCAAGGGGCGTGCAGGTGGTGCAGTGGTTAGCGCGCACGACCCCTCTATGGAGGCCTTAGTCCTTCATGCAGCTGACCCGGGGTCATTTCCCGGCCCGTAGGACTTTGTTTCTCTCTCATATCCCCTTTCCTGTCAGCCTACGGTCAGAAAAACGAGCCACTAGAGCCAAAAAAAATAAAAATAAACTGAAACTAATATGTTCGCAGTGATTGAATGAATTTAGCGTTAATCAGTAAATAAATTAAAACGATAATCAATGATGACTTCACCATTGAAATTCACCAGAATTAGCGAATCGGCTGTTCCAACCGTTCCAACCGAATTCTCCGGAGTGGTGCTGAACTTTACAGTTAATGAATACAGTGAATGTGATTGGTCGTTTATCAAGGGGGCGGGATTGTTGTGGCGGAAAGTTCGTAAGCAAGTTTGGTTGTGGCCGGTTTGTGGGAAGCATCTTGCTAACCAGTTAGCATCTTAGTGCTAGCAGGTTGCCAATGGGAAATTCCATTGGGACCAAGTAGCACTAAATTGGTGACTTAGAAACGACGCTGTCAAGGAACGCTATGGACAGCGGAAACATGCAAGAGGAGGAGAGTTTAGTGTCGGAGGTCGTGGATGAGTCTCCTCCGTCATCCATTTTTTATTTAGAGGAGGAAAGCGGGGACGAAGATGTTGTGGAAGAGGACGCCAGGGCGGCAGAAGCTTGGTTTGGTGTAGAAGGCTTCCAGCCGTACATGTTTGAGCCCTTGCCTCGCAACGCTGCCAGTTCTGTTAGCTCTACGCCTGCCGAAGACACAGACGTCCATCCCCGTGAACACTGGGACGCAACTCAATGGGAAAGGAAAGGATTCTGGTTTCAACCGTTGCGTATATTAGCTGCGACATTTGAATCAAGATGCTATGACCGAAAACATTTGATTGACAGATGACCGTTGATATATGATTGGCTGAATTTAGGTGTTCAGGCTGACGTAGAACTAACTGGCCTGCAGAAGAGAATGAAAAAAAAAAAGATTTTAAGAAATTTTCTAACTTTTGGGGCAATATTTACTGATAAAGAGAACATTTATATACATGTTTAAGCCAGAATGATTTATCATTTAAATATGATTTCCCTACGACTTTAAACTGACATTTCCTTTAACTCACATTAATAGAACGAGGTTGAATCCCCTCAATCCAGAACCTTCCAACCAGTGTAAAACCATCAGGTGGTGCCCTCTAGTGGTCATTTCGAGTTTCAGCGCTCTTTTAAGGGAAAAATCCGCTCATATTTAGAATTCAAACTTCTGAAAGTTCTTTAAATCTGAAATGATTCCATCCTGTTCAAAAAATGATCAGTGTTTTTAATTCAGAGTCATTTTTATGTGAATCAGTTTTACTGGAGGCATCCATGTTTGTCAAAGGCTTACCGCACCGTGACGTCACTGCTGGAAGATGGCAGGAGGGAGGGGCTACTATATTTGGGCAAAAATGGCCGCTCCCAGACTCAATGATCGCAATGAAAATAATTTTTGTCTTTTTACTGATTAAAGCCGAATTCATTAAATCACCGTAAACGTATTAGTTTTAGGTATAAATAATGATCCATTGATCATTCCTGGCTCACCGGATGGTTCTCGTTTCTTTGTTCCTGTTATAAATAAACTAAATAAATAAAAATACATTTTATTATTCATAGTTAAACTTTTTTTAAATCAAAGTCATTAATTAAATCCAAAGAGCCTTTATAATGTAAGTTTAGCCGTTACCACGCTCTTCTTCTTCTGTCCTCCGTGAACCAGGCGGCCTGCAGAGCGCTGGAGCTGGCCAAACAGAACCACATCCAGAAGCTGGTTCTCTACACAGACAGCAAGTTCACCATCAACGGTGAGCCGCTCTCTGCTCCGTGGACCTGAGGAGCAGCTGGAGATGACCGTCTGGCTTTGGTTCCGCAGGTGTGACCAGTTGGGTGAAGAACTGGAAGCTGAACGGTTGGAGGCTGAAATCTGGAGGAGAGATCACCAACAAACAGGACTTCATGAAGCTGGACCTTCTGAACTCTGAGCTGCAGGTGGTCTGGGTAAATATCAGCACCGGATCAGCAGGACAGCTTTTAGTCCCAGAGGTTCTAACGTGGGTCTGATGTTTTCTTCCTCCTCCTCTTCCTCCAGTTGCACATCCCTGGCCACTCAGGGTACCGTGGAAACGAGGAGGCCGACCGGCTGTCCAGAGAAGGAGCAGCCAAACCGCTGCAGGAGCCTGAAGAGGATCTGGGATAAAGCAGGACTTTGTTGTTTTACTTCATGTTGATTATCAGCAGCTGCTGCTTCTTTCTGAATGTTTTTATTTTCTGCTCGGGTTCTGTTGATGTAAAATTCTGAATAAAGTTTTGGTTTTCTTCTGATTGGAATAAATATATAAATATATATAATGTCGTTTCCTGCTGATGTCTGGAAGAAGAAAAAATCATGAACGGAATCAGTTAATTCCGCTAATGTCCAGCAGAGGGCGGTGGACTCACAGGTCTGAGATCAGCCCTGATGGAGGAAATGGAAAAACATGATGGATGCTCTGATTTCATAGGTCAAAGGTCAAAGCTGCTCATGAATCCGATTAATTTAACTTTTAAAAGTTTTTTATTTCTCCCTGAATCTTTTCATCTTTCCCTGTAATTCTATAAAATTTAACGAAAACCTTGATCAGCAACCAGAGTTAGTTTCAGTTAAACACTGAAGATCATTCTGAACCAAATGCTTCCATGTGACTTTACTCTTTAATTATACTTCCTTTATTTGAAGCTGCCTATTTTATTCTAATTAAAGGTAACTAATAACTTTATGTCTTTATCAAATATTTAGTTCAAAATGGAAAAGAGTAATTACTTTTAGGAACAAAGTAAATTTTTATATTATTCACACAGAAGCCACTCTTACAAAATTGTTTAGTTTAACAATCTAAAAGTTATAGTTTGATTTTTAATATTATTTAAAAAGGTGAGATTTCTTCTTGTTTAGCTGGAAAATCCTTAAAAATTTTAAATGTCTTGATGTTTCTCTTAGAAATACGTAAAAAGGTTCTAAAGTATTTGATTAAAAAAAGACCATCGGTAAATATTAATCAGGTGTTTTTACAAAGTTCAAACTCTGCAGGACTGTTGGTATGGCAACACATTTAAATTATTTTTTTTTACTTTTTCATTTCTATCTTTGATCCTTAATACATTTAAAGATGTTTATTGATGTCTTTTTCTGATATTTTAGAGATAAATGTTGTTTTCTTTGTCTTTGTTGATTTTCATACATATAATTTTGGACTAATTCTGTTTTTTATTCACTGGTTAAAACCGTTTGGGCTTAAAGTGAAGAGAATGAGTGGAAGGAAAAACTCAATGTGAAAACAGTTAAATATGTAAAATAATTTAGAAAAGAGAGACAAAAAAAGCTGAGAAAACAGCAAAGTTTCTATAAAAAAACATTTTCGACTATAACATAAAAAAACAAAACAATGTATACATATATATGTATAAATAAAACCGCTGAGAGAAGTGAACAGAGCCCAGAATAAATGGAATCTGTTTGGTTAAAGCTTAACGATCAGAACCAAAGTTTTTCTGCTTCATGATCCGGTTGGTTTCGTTGCTGCAGAACCGGTTCTGATCCAGATCATCCTGCAGATTCTAACGTCTCTAAAACCCAGGAGGAAAATATGGATCTAATGTTTAAACTTCTAGATCATCAGACTATAAGCTTACTTGAAGAATCCACCTGATTAAATATTTTAAGAAAACAGGGAAATTCATTACTGTTGGTTATGGGTGCAGTTCCCCCTTCAGACAGCAGGGGGCAGCCGAAGCTAAGGGGAGAAGGTCAGTTTGAGCGATGAGATTATTTCCTTAGATGCTGTTTAAAGAATCTAATTTCATACAAGCTATTATTAAAAATAAAGTTTCTGATCATTTAATTTTTCATTAAAAAAAATGTAAGATTCTTTAAAACTGGATAATTAAAAATAAAAATGTTAAAACCGTTTTAACAGTGATTTATTCCTTTTAATTATATTATTACATTACTAATAAATTCCCTTTTCAGAACTTGTCTGACTCTCTGCTCTTAGAATTTGTAAAAAAAAAAAAAAAAATTATAGTATTTTTTTATTTTTAAATTCTCATTTCATGTTTGTGTTTAATTCAAAGTGAGGCTTAATTTTGCTTTTTTAAATTGATGAACTTTAATCTCTTTATATCAACTATTTCTATTTAATCATGTCTAATTTATTTTGTATTGTTTCTGCTGAAAAGTTAATTTCATTTATTTTAATTAAGCTTCACAGCTGAAATAAAAAGATCATCATTCTTTTCTGTTTTCATCTTGTTTTCTTAGATTTTACCAAAAATAATTAAATGAATTATTATTTTTCTTTTAACAGATAAACCGGTTAAAATAATCTAACGTTCCCTGGAGCACAAAGATCATCGACGGTATGAGAAACTCAACATGCTGTAGAAAATAAATAATAAATGTCATAAATGAATAAAATAATCAATAAAAATCATTATGAGACGGTGATGAATTTCATTCAGCTCAGAATTTTAGAAACTTACAGAGAAAATAGAAACAATCTTCCTCAAAGAAAAATTAAAAACAAGAAAAAAAAAAAAGTCTTGAATTTTAAAAAACTGGAAAATTAGAAACATTTGAAGATTTAAACCAAAATCCCGCTGATCTTGGATCAGTTTGGAGGAACAAAGAAAGCAGCTCTGATAAAACCATGACAACTCCCAGCAGCTCCCTGGGATCCCAGCGGGGGGGTTAAGCTCTGCTTTGTGTTTGCAGAGTCCGACCACCCAGCAGGTTTATCCTCCAGGTTCGTTTCTAGTTCACAGAGCTTCAGCTTCTAGAATAGAAATGTTCGGTTCTGAGTTGCTCTGTGAGGTTCTGCTCTAGGTTCGGAATCAGAAGTCTGTAGAACAAAGATGGATTCACTCAGGAAGATGTTTCTCTCCAAACTGACCAAAGAGCGAAATGTTCGGTCAGGTTCTGCAGCTTTTCAGGCCTACATTTCCCATGATGCATCACACAGCTCCGAACTCCAAGGATGGGAGAAGCTTCGGTCTGCAGGTTCTGTTTGCTCCCAGAAGTCCAGAAAGATCCTGGTGCTGAGGAGAACCAGCTGCTTCTCTTTAGGGATAAAAACAACCCAGTTCTCCTCTTTTTCAGGACCGACCCAGACTGAGCAGAACCAGAACCTGAGCAGAACCAGAACCTGAGCAGAACCAGAGCCTGAGCAGAGAAGATCCCGTGAAGCTGCAGCATCAGTTGCTCAGAGATCCTGGTTCTGATCCAGATCTTTAGCATCACGGTTCTGGTTCGGAAGTAAACTGACTCCTGATCCGAAAGGTGATCCACCCAATATTCTGCAGCTTCTCTGTCCCACAGCATGATGCGGCCTCCACCATGCTTCACCTGGTTTCTGAAACCTTTGAAGAACTTGAATGGACCGGGTTGGACTGGGATGGGTTTACTGGTACCAGTCTGAAGTAAAGTTCTGCTCTGCGTTCTGTCGGTCTGGCACAGAAGATCCGGTTCGGTTTGAAACTGGACCAGATGTGGAAAAGATGGTAAAATGTTTTTCCTGGTTCTGTTTGTCTGAGGATCCATGGAGGTTCGGAGGTTCTGGTCAGTAGAACCCATCCGGACCAAAGCTGCAGCAGCTCTGAAACAGAGTCCCGGACCGGTTCGGTCTCCTGCCTGACGCGGCTCAGAGCACCTCCTCTCTGGACTCCGGACCCGCCTCCGACCTTCTTAAAGACCCTGGAAGCAGGAGCGGGACTCAGACCGACCCGCTGCTCTCAGCCTCCATGGACCGAACCGCGCTGTAACGAACCGAACCTGGAACTTTCTGACTCCTCCATTCTGCGCCATGCCGTCCGGCACCAGAGGCAGAACCGGGTTCTCAGTACGGGACCTTCTGGACCTTCCGAGCCCCACAGGAGGCTGCGGCTCCGGAACCGAGGAGGAGAGCTCCGGAGAGGTTCCGGTGAAGGACCTGGGCCCAGAAGGAGGCCTGGAACCCGGGTTCGGTTGGAGCAGGTGGAGCCGCGCAGCAGGTCAGTTCTTCCTCTGCGGTACCGGTTCTGGTGCACATCATCATCATCATCATCATCATCATCATCATCATCATCATCATCATCATCATCATCATCAGAACCAGCACAGGTTTCATTGCTTTGGTTCTGGATCACCTCTCTGTCTCAGTTCGGACCGGTTCTGGTCCAGAAAGTTTCTGAAAGTAATTAGAGTTTCTTCTTATTTCCAACTCAGACTCTGGAACCGACCGACCCACCGAGCAGTCCGCTGCTGCGCGGCTCGGTTCGGTCCAGAAGAACCACGGGAGGAAGCGCAGGGTTCTGTTTTCCAAGGCGCAGACCTTCGAACTGGAGCGGCGCTTCCGGCAGCAGCGGTACCTCTCGGTACCGGAGAGGGAGCAGCTGGCGGGCCTGATCCAGCTCACCCCGAACCAGGTCAAGATCTGGTTCCAGAACCACCGCTACAAGCTGAAGCGCGCGCGCGCAGAGCGCGGCCACGAGGCGCTGCAGGGACGCCGCCCCCCCATCCCGCTCCTGGTTCGGGACGGGAAGCCGTGCGAGGGGCTGGAGGTTCGGTCCGGCCTGGAGGTTCGGTCCGGCCTGGAGGTTCGGTCCGGCCTGGAGGTTCGGTCCGGCCTGGAGGTTCGGTCCGGACTGGCGCTCCATCTGTGCGCCTTCTCCCCGCTGCTGCGCGCCGCATGCGGCCCGGAACAGGCCGGAGCGCCGCAGCCGCTGGCCCACTTCTACCCCTGGAGCTGGTGAGGTTCGGTCCGGACTGGTACCGAACATGACAGAACTTTCCCGTCCGGACAGCTGTTTGGATCCAGGACTCTGTGTTTGGGTTTTTGTTCCGGTTCTGTGAGCTCGTCTGGTTCCTTTATTTATTTATTCTGTTTGTCAATCTGAATATTTATGAATAAAGTTGGAGTTTAATTCGGTTCTGACCCAAACGGTTCCGCTCAGTTTTATTTTATTTTATTATTTTATTAATAATTAAAAAATCTGAAAAACCTAAAAATATTGATTTAAATAATTAAAAAAAAGATCCGCCTTTTTAAATCAGCTGTTTCCACATCGGTTCTGAAACCAGTTTGGATTCGGATCAGCTGGTTTTCTGGACCCAAACCGGTTGCGGATATTCGGAACATTTCTGTTCATAAATCCCAAACTTCAAACAGTCCGAACCTGCGGGGGGCGGGGCTACCTGTACAGAACGGCCTCTGATTGGTTGATTGGTTTCTGCAGCGTTTTAATTCCACCTGATCTTTAATGAACCTGAAGAAATAGAAAATCTACAGAAGCAGGATGGAGAATCTGAGCTGGGATGCTTTAACTGCAGGTTCGGATCAGAACTTTCACCAGGTCCAAACTGCAGGTCTCCTTCCAGAGAGGTGAGGAGGAAGAGGAGGAGGCAAGAGGAAGAGGAGGAGGCAGGAGGAAGAGGAGGAGGCAGGTTCTAAACCGAATTGAAGAAACATCTTCAATCATCAGGAGAGAAGCAGCTTCAGGACAGAGAAGAAAAAAAAACTAAATAGGGGAATTTGATAAATGATTTAAACATATAAAAAATATCTGTTATTCTAATCATAAACGATCCTCAGCAGGTTCTGTCATCATCCTCATGATTGTCATGTTCTTGATGATTATCAAGAACATGACAAAAAGAAAGAAAAACAGGAAATAAATTCTGAGTTTTTTTATTTTTTATTTAAAACGATTCCACTGAAAACCAGATGAATCGGCTTTTTTCGATTCATTTTAATAAAGTTTTACTACAAAAAACTATGTTTAGATCAGAGGTAGCCAATTAAAAATCAGCTGGTTCAGAATAAAGAAAATTATCAACCAGTAAAGATCAGGAGACATTTTTAATTATAATCTGTTACTTTAAACAGAATTTAAACTGAAATAAAAAGCAGCTTTAAGCAGCTAATCCCTGACCTCTGGATTAGAGCGCTGCGGGTGGGTGCCGTAGGTTCAAACCCCACAGACTGCCACTCTGGGACCCTGAGCAAGACCTTTAACCCCACACTGCTCCCATTAAATGCAGGGGAGGGGGGGGATTTCTTAGAATGTAAAAATTTAGCAAAATAATTTTCACGTTTCTTTCATTTAGTAAACTTTCTTTACATTGAATATATTTTTTCTCACATTTAGTGCCAAAAGAACTAAAGATTAATCTTTAACCGATTTAGTCTATGTCTAAATATTAATATTTTTTTTATCAAAATCTAAACATGTATTTTTCTAATAAAAAAAAAGATTAAAAAAGTTATATAAAAAAATAAATAAACATAATTTTTTAATTTATATTTCTGAACGACTAAAACCGTTAATCGCTTTGCCAATTAACCACGCCCCCTTAAGGGCCCAAATTACCCCCCCCTTCCCGCCCTCACGCGCACAAGAAGACGTGGTTTAACATTTAGATAGAAAAAGTAATTCAGATTTAGAAATAAGATTAATATTTACACACACGCATGCAGAAGATGACTGAACATTTTTATAGATGCATTGGAAGTTGGACCTCCATGCTGCATAAAAGCATCAAAAACTCTTAGATAGTTGTTGAAATGTCTTCAAAATAAATAAATGAGTAAAATAGAATAATAAAAAACTTCCAATTGAAGCCTTAGAATTTAAACAGGATTATTCTTTCTTTGCCGTTTCGTTTAAACTGGATGTAATTTCAGAAGCAGCCAGCAGATGGCAGCAGTGTGTAACCTTCCAGCAGCAGGTTCCAGTGGATCCGTTCTTTCCGCCTCATCCTCACTAACAGAAGCAAAATTCTCCAAAAACCCTAAAGGAATCTGTTCCTCATCTCTGCAGAACTTCAAAATATTATCTGTTTTTGAGGAAATTATTCAGTTTTCTGTTCGATTTAAAATGAAAATTATTCTGCACAAAGGTTTCTATTTATGTTATGACGTTTAATTCATTTTAGCATCATTTAGCGAACATCAAATTGTTGAGGTGATTCAAAAAGCCAAGGAGAAATTTAATGGATTTATTTCCCGTTTTTCTTTAAAAGTTGATTTAATTATTTCAGTATTTCTGGCTGCAGAATTCAGAATGGTTCTATTTATCGGTGCTCGTTGTTTGCTGCCTTATCTGGGCTCAGCAGAGAATCCCAGACTTCCCTCCTGCAGGTCCCTGGACCTCGTCCCAACCGAGGCGTCCCGTCAGCATCAGATGTCTGAGGTTCCTCAGTGGTTTCTTCTAAATGCAGCCCTCCTCTGCCACGGGTCAGGCTGCAGAGACAATATTCTGTCCTCATTGAATCAATGGGGACAGAACCAGCCCTGGTCCCAGCACTGAACCCTGTGGAATCATCCAGAAACTCTGGGTCTGGGTTCTCTACCAACAGCTGCTGCTCCTTGGTTCATATCGGTCCAACCTCTGGAGAACTGATCGCGTTTGACCAGGACTCTCCCTCTTTATTCTGTGTCCATCTGTGTTTCGGGAGGTAGAGGACAGACCGTCCACACAGAACATTAGGACAGGTGTCAGTAGAACCATCGGGGACTTCCAGATTCACAGTAGGACGTCTCTGTCCCAGGATGTCACAGTGCAGTTGGTGGAAGACAGAAAGACTGAAAGAAAGATGACATCCCTTCTGGACAGAGT